AACCGGCAACCTTCTTGCTGCGAGACAACAGTGCTACCAACTGCGCCACCCTGCAGCCCCATGCTAGAGATGTTTTACTAATTAGATTTTTAATTTCACAGCTTTAATTGCCACCATTCTCTTTCCAAATGTTGCTTTTTTTATTGAACCGGTGAGTTTCTTCAGGCTGGATACGACTTCAACAAGCAGCAGGAAACAATCAGACGTTGGATTAAATATGTTAAAGATTCATTTGAGCCATTTCTAAAGTTGTCTGGTTTGGTTTGGTTAATTTTTAAATAAACATCACATGTCCAAAATTATGGAAATTGTGAAAAATATTTGATGCAGCTTCCCGCGCTTTTCAACCGCGACTGCTGATTTCCACCGTGTTCTAATACGATGAAGTTTAGTGATTTTTAACATATTCTAACCTTTCACATGCCCAGAATCATCCACAACCCGCTAAACTGTTGGCAATAAGAATTTTCTACCACGTCTACCTGTAGAGACACGAAGAAAAGCAGTGAGCAGCTATAAGAGGGATAATTTTGGACATTTGGTATTTTTAGTAAAAAAACAAAAACCCTGAAATCAGTAAAATTCATCATCAGCATCCTGTTGAAATAAAAATTCACTTTAAATCCAAACTTGGAGCTTAACTGTAGGTGGAGTTGAACTAAAGGTGCATTACGCACATAAGAGTATGATGTCAAAATAAATTTCTACAGCACAGCCAAGTCTTTTCTAAAATCCAAACTTTAAAGCAAGGAAACAGAAACACGTCAACAGAGGATTTAACATTTTAATCAGATTGTAAAAAAAAACACCAAAAAAACGAAATGAAACTTAACGGTACAAGAAACGTGAACATTAACGAAGTCACTGGTTGGTTCTGGTTGAACCAACCTGCATCCATCACTTTCAAATTATTTATATATTTATATATTTATATATATATATGTGTGTGTGTGTGTGTGTGTGTGTGTGTGTGTTTAAAAAACCCAACAACGATTATATACATTTTCGAGAAGATTTGGCTCATTTACATACATTCTGAGATAATCACAGTTCCAACAATAATAAAGTTCATGCCGAAGACTTCAGTGACCCGAAGCACCAGGTTTCCTCAAACGCTCCATTTCTTTCTTTCTTTCTTTTGTTTTTACATTTATGACACTTTTAAGTCGCCATTTTTTTGTAAAAGCAACAAACTTCTTGGAATAATCTCACCACCTTTTACTCAGACGAAGAAAAAAAAAACAGACTAATGTCGTTTCCTTTGCAGGCTGATTGTTGGTCGGCGCTGGAGGAACCTCGAACCCTGTCTGATAGTGTCGGATGTGCTGAGTTGTTAGTGAAGAACGGCTACGAGGGTTTAAAACTAAAACCGGAGGGTGAAACCAGCAGTCAAACGTTTACTGTGATAGTGTTTGTTCTCGGGGCACCAGACAGACGGAGCTGCTGCACAAAGACGCTCGAAGCTTTCAGACAATCGCAGGAATGTTTTTGGGGTTTATTTCGGTGCATTTGATTCGCTCCGAGTTACATCAAACTGGTGAAAGTAAAGCAGCAGTGCAAACAAAACAAAAAGGGCAACGTGAGGAAAAACAAAAAGCCCAGCTCCATTGAAAGGAAGGAAAGAAACGTTGGTAGTTTTACTGTTATTCGTGATGTAATCGTCAGAGCAGCTTCAACTTGTGCAGCAGGAAGACGTTTTTAGATTAGTTTCTGATGTTTATCAATAAAGTTTCAAGAAATCGAGAAAAAAGCTGATCACAAGTTGCAAAAAAAGATTTAAAAATGAGGGAAAAAGCAGCTAATCGTCACACGTGAGCAGCTGGAAACGTTGAACGTTCGGCATCTTCTGCTTAAACTCAGATGTTTGAAGTTGATCCTTGCAGGTTAAATGTGTGTTGATGATGTGTTTGGTGGAGACGCTTTGTCAACACCTATTCTCAGCGCATCAACTTTTTTACAGCTTACAGCGATAAATGCTTTGATTTTTCAGATGAGAAGATCCCCCTCTGATATCCGTGTGTTTAAATACGAAGCCACAGCTGCTGGAAATTAAAGAAGATCCACTTACAAACACATGTGAACCTCTCGCCTGCTTCCAGCTCTGTTGCTAAGCTAAGCTAACCCGGCTGTAGCTTCACATTTACACACCAGCGACAGAGATCTTCTCATCTGAACTTACTCACCAAATCACTCAGCAGAAAACCCCGTGATGTGAAGTTAATGCTATGGTATGTAGCGAGCTACTCTGTCAAAGACAAGCCCACAGAAGTTAGTGTTTCTCTTGTGGCGTTGTGAGAACGCAGACGCTGTTATTACGACCTACCAGGTGGGAATTTCCAACTTCCGGGTGACCGAAACCAATCGTTAGTCTTCGCTTCGGAGCCTCCGCCGCCCGCTGTGGTGAGGAAACCCAGACGGACGTCATCCTCCCCGTCTCGCTCCAGCATTCGTAAAAGTCTGACCCACATTCGGAGACGGTACACGCTGGGAAACACTCCGCATTTAGGGACGCTCGAGGAAACTCTAAGTGTAAGGCGTAATCCAGAAACCAGATCCACAAATAGTTCGTGGCGACAGGGAAAGACCGCTCAGTTCTAAACGTGGCCCCGCGACTCTTAATTTGGTCCTTTTTTTTAATTTCATTTTTTTTGGCAGAGACGGAACAAAAGGAGAGTTTCCCTCGTTGTGGTTCAGAGCTTTAAAGTGGGAGGTCGAGAGTTCAGGCCACAATGTGAGGTCCACAGATGGTTGATGTCACAGACTGGAGGCCTCCGACGGATGGTAGGGTCCATTCACCTGAGAGGGACGAGAAGGACAGTTACACATCATTGGTACACCTTCAGGAAGATGATCGAGGCTGATAGTCTTCATTTTTCCAGATATCAGTAAAGCTATTTTTATTAGAGATCGACTGATATGTTATTTTTTTAAAGGTTGATGCCAATTATTAGTGATCAAGAAACGTTGACAACCAATATTTGGAATAGATATATAATAAATGTGATGTTTTAACAGCATGTGACAGCAGAGAACCTGTCATTCATAATTGGAGTTCTTCATTAATGAAGGTGACTAGAACTTAATATGTAAAACAGAAACAGTAAAGATAAAATCCGGATGATCTCCTCTGTTTATGTGACTGAGATTGATCAGTTTGTCCTCTGCAGTTCAGCTCTATTTTCTAGATCTTTCACAGTTTTATCACTTTTATTGCCACTGAGGTCCAGATCTAAATATTAATTCTTGTTTTCCAGACTCTGTTTCAGGTTAATCTGTGGCTGCCTTCTAGCTTAGCCGCTAGCTGTTAGCATAGCCACTGTTAGAGGAGCTAACTTCCTGGTTTGTGTTTCCTGTTCAGTTTTTTACAGTCTCTGCTTGAGAGACCTTTCTGAGACCACAGAGAGACGATCTGAAGTAGCGGATTTGATTTATCAATAACCGTGAAAAATGCCAAACATCGGTTACGATAATCTGCAAATAACCAGTCTATCCCTTATGTTTTATTAACTTACAACAAATGTAATACTTTTGCCCTGATGCAGCTTCCTGTCTTTGTGGTCTCAGGAAATGGCCCGCCCACAGCTCCATCTGATTGGTTACACGTCACAAGTAACAGCCAATCACAGAGAGCCATTGTTTACACGGAGGGACTGACGAGCAGATTTGTAGAACAGAGCAGCTCTGGTGAATTAGCGAAGCTATGTTTCGAATGTGAGGTAGAAAGTACTGCAGGAATAGTTTTAAAAAAAACAAAACAGCAGCGCTATTTTACAGAAGCAAGTCCAGTTTCCCTGTTATACTGAAAATGCTTGAAAAATTCACTTGTTTCTACAGCGGGAGCTTTTTATCAATGTCAGGAATGTGGCTAACGCTATCTGGAGCACCGTAACAGCTTTCTAAAGTCAAATCAACTTCAACAGTCTGTCTGAACCGACGGACGTGTCTCTCTAGCAGAGACACAAGAAGTACAAACATCTCCACAAATCAGGACATTAGCTCCTCTCACAGTGGCTAAGGCTACGCTACCGGCTAGCAGCTAAGTTAGGAGGCAGCTGATATCATCACTTCTACTGCTATTGTGCATATTCAGTCATAGTAATCCTTGTTAGTGAAGTAACCCAGTATGCGCATCGGTTTAAAGTATCGCTTATCGGCCTTTTTTCATCAACAACTATCTTGTTATTGTTGTGGAGCTGAAAAAAAAACAAACAAAAAACAAACACCACATCAGCCAATCTCTATATGTTATGCTACAAATTTAAAACTGCATCACCAAGCAACAGACTAGATGTGTCAATACCAAAATATCGTGATCCTCGGACCACATGTCCAATAACACAAGGTTGCATGAAGAGTAATGAGTCCACTCTGAGACCAACTGGTGTGACAAATGTCTTATTACAGTTTTATAAATAGTTTCCTCAAGTTTGGTCAAACTCCAACAAGACATTTCTTCAACACACGTGACAGAAATGGACAAACAAATTCACTTTTGTACCTCAGATTACATTTTATCCATCACAAGTGACCGAAGAGAAACAGTTCTTGTGCATCAATTTCCTTTTAAAAACTGCAGCATCATGCCAGCGACGAGCGAATTCCCTCCAGACAAACAGTGTTATGTAATAAAGTCATTATTCAACGAACAAAGCAGCAGGTGGGTTTGTTTCGCTGTGTTTTCTTTTTGTTTTTAAGGAAACAATATCCTAAAGGGTTTGTACGGTCGGCTCGGAGGCCTTCTGTAAGGCGAAACTGATGTCTGGTTTTATCCTTTCAATTCCCTTTCTAGGAGAGCTTCAATTATCCGTAATTTAAGCTCGCCGGTAATTCTCTCACGCCGCCCAGTTAAATGCAGCCGGCTGCTACTTAACGTGCAGTTTCACCAAGCAGAGGAGCTTTTAACTGTAACAAGGGAGTCAATCGGACTCTTGGATGCAGCGGAGGTTGTGACGTGAAGATGGACTTTATGTACAAGTTGAGCAGTTATGGAATGACGCTCTACTTTTAGCTCTATTTTTGGTCTCCACCAGCTCTTCCTCCTTCTAGCTAACTGCTAACAAAGACTATGCTGTCCTGAGCAGGCAGCGTACGGTACATTTTTAGAGCTTTTTTACTATAAAAAAACACCACGAAAGCTGTGAAAATGAAACAAAACAGTAAACCTGTGGGCTCAAAGGCAAAAAAAAATATATAACTCACCGTAAAACACTTTAAAGTTGAAGGAAGCTGCACATTTTGTTTTTTTCTCAGCAAATTCATCAATACATGATTTGTTTTGTGTCGCTCGCAGCCACTTTGAGCTAGTGTCTGATGTTTGTACTGTACGAGGTTCTGACTGTACAAAAGCACATCCAAGGCCTTGACAGAGTTTCATCTTATGCCACAATCAATCAGGCCACACTTCAGCACATAAAAAAACAATTTTTCTGGACTCCATCTACAGTGAAATCCAGTCTAAACTGTTTCTTGGTAGCAGCAGCTCACAGGTGTCAATGCGAATGTTATTGCCAAGTCCTGCTGGCGGGCTGCAGCGCTGACGAGAAGAAATGCACTGTACTCCAGCCCTAGAGGAGGCCAGCCCATTGTGTTCACATACTGACTGTTAAATTCCCTGTAAAAAGGCTGAGGCTGACCTAAAAATACGTTCCTTATGAGTAAGCCAAGCCCGGGAGAACGCCAATACACAGCCAGAGGGAGGGCAGCATCTCAACTAGTGACTCCTGAAATGAGTAGAAGCAGCCTCTCGCTACAGCAGCCACACATGAGGATTCATGTTTGGTACTAATGTACAAATAAAATACTGAGAAGCTGCATTTTTCTGCTCCAGCACCAATTACAATACATGACCAGTGGATTCAGTGAAGCTTAAAGTCTGCACTCGAACCTCGATTTATTTGGAATCCAAAAAAACATGCCAAGAAATGAGAAAAAGCCTTCCAGCCCTTCTTCTGGTGATTCTACCTTCTGCTAATTTCACTAATGATGAATTGTGACGCATATATATGTACAAACAGTGGCATGCTGAAGTCAACATGTCTATGAAGTGAGCAGAAGATGAACAGCGTATTCCTGTCACTTTGTACATTTTCAGATAACTTCTACCAAGGTCTCAGAGTATACCTACCTCGGTGGGGCTCCGACTAAATCGCTGCCATTGTTAGAAAAACGTAAAAGCTTTATAAATACTCGGCAAACCTCTTCCCAACAACCAGCAGCTTTGGCCTCTTTGAAACAGTTGCTATGAAGATGAAAATAACGGATGTCCTCAAAGCAGGAGAAAGCTATAAAAAGAAAGAAACCGTAGGTCGCTGTTTTCTTTTAATGTCGTTATGAAACGGCAGTTAACGGCAACGGTTGGGGTCAAGCCGAGGTTTGGAAGACCAAGAAAGCTTTCAGAGAGAACTGTCTGTTAGAAAGGCTTGTTCTGGTGGTTCGCTGCTCCAGTCTGTTGATACACCTGAACTGATAAAACCTTCAAGGAAGAGTCACCACAGGATCACAGGGTACTCAACACAAAAGTCAGCATCAGATGTTTGCAAAGGAACATTTAAACCAGTCTGATGCATTTTTTTGAAAGAAATCCTGTTTTGGCAGCAGTGAGCAAAGGTGTGTTTGGAAGAAATGGTTGCAGAACTTCATGGGAAAAAACCCCCACACCTCTTCTGTTAACCTCTTCAGCTTTGGGGTTGTGTTGCAGCGAGTGGCATGAGGAAGAATGGGTCCAGTTAGATACTAGCAACTTCTGGATCATAGTATTAGAGAGGGGATTCTACAACAGTCTAATGATCCTTAAACACCACCTCAAAATCCACGTGGAGAGGCTTTGGCCCTCACAGTCCCCCGACATAAACACCATCAAACATCTCGAGAAGGACTTCAAAAGAACAGAGCGTGGAAGTCAGTCCAAGAAACCTGCGATGGGCAGAAATCCCCCAACGCAGACGTAAAACACTCTGAGCAGGTTGAAAGAAAAAGCATTTACCAGCTGAGATAGTCACCAAAGTGGGTGTTCTGTAGTTCTAAATAAAGTTTTGCTTCACGGCCTTTTCCGTTTTGGCCCAAACTTCTGCATGTGACTGTATTCAGCGACTCCTTAGCAACCAAAGGCTAAACCACTTGCAATGTAATCCTTCACATTTTTTGTGTTAAACTAGAAGATTACGGGACTTGGAACCAAAGCGTCTACAAAATATTACTCACTAATGCGTCTGACTCTAACAAACTATCATGTAAAACGTGTATCCTTCAGCTTAGTTTGACCAACAAAGACATGTAGACATTATCTCATATCGCCGCATGAAGTACGTCAAAAGATAAAATATCCTAACTCACTCTAAAAGCTGCAAAATGGATCCAATGTGTACATCTGCACATTAGTTTGGCCACATGCAGCCTTAAAATGCTGATAAATCTGATTCATTTCAAATAATCTCTGCAACAAATCAGAGACGCTAGCCTTTCTTTGCTAGTTACAACTCCTTCTGAACTGTCCTCGGTATCCAAATCAAGCTCCTCCGTTGACATCTCCACTGAAGAACATTAAAGCAGGTGAGTGGGTGAGCTAACGTTTACCTCCAGATCCTCATCCAGAATCCAGCGTTCAACAAAGGAAAGAGTTACGTGTTTGTCAGCCGACACAAACTACAGATCACCACAAAGCCAAGGCAGTCGGATCACGAGGAATCAGACGCATCATCGGAGGAACGAAGCGTGGAAAGACTTCTGGTCCTTTCAGTGCTTGAGAAGATTCTTTAAAGCTGCAGTGTTCATTTTTTGAAGTTAAAACAGGTTAAAGGGGATAATTTTTCTAAAATTCCAGCTGTTTTCTCGACATCGGTTCAACATCTTGGAAAAGGAATCCATAGCTTATGGTATAGAGTATACTTTAACACCTGCGGGACCTATTTTATGCTACTTTCATCTGGCTGAACCCAATTTACACAGTCTGGATGACTTGGTGCAGCACTGACACTAAACCTGGACGAGTATCACAGGAGAACGTAAGCGGTGTACATGACAGGCCAATTATATCATTAGAGAAAAACACACGATGAGATATTTCCGTTCATACGGTGTTTGAAAGGTTCAGAACATTACCAGATGCAGCTTTAACTATCCTGTTTCACTAAAATACGCAAAGACGATTTATCTGACATTGAAGATACATCGAGCTGCAGGAATGTTAAGAGGCAGAGGAACTGAAAAAGCTTCGCGGTAACGTGGACTCCAAATTTTGAGCATTTTAGCAATTACTTTTTTAAATTAATGCAAGTGGTTTCCAAGGATATTCTTTCAGATGCCGACAACATCTGTGTGCAGATTTGTGAGTTTAGTTTCCAGTGACTCCTAAAACTCACAATTTTCTGTGATGGAATCATTGCAACACGTGTCTTTGTCACAAAACTAATCCTGCACTTTGGTTCTGTCATAGATTTATCAAAGGTCTATGACAGAACCTCTTGGGTCAAAAATATACATACAGCTATGATAGTATTTGTGTTTTGGCCAGGTCCATCTCAGTTAGGTTCTTCTGGTTCCGTTCACCAGCTTCTGGTCCATCTCTGACTCCTCTGGACAGAATCGCTGCAGTTCAACTAAACTCGTCGTCTTTCTGACTCAGACTTGTTTCTTCATCAGTCCACAGGTTCTGGATGGTTCCAGTCAGGACTTTGGGGAGACCAGTCTAGAACCTTCATTCCAGCCTGATGGAACCATTTCTTCACCACTTTGATGTGTGTTTGGGCTCATTGTCTGATTGGAACATCCACCTGTGTCCAAGATCAACCTTCTGCTGATGGTTTGAGGTTTTCCTGAACAACCTGGAGGTGATCCTCTTTCTTCATTGGTCTACTGACTTTGTGTAAAGCTCCAGGTCCACTGGCAGCAGAACAGAACCAGAGCATGATGCTGCCACCTCCATGCTTGATGGTAGGTTTGGTGTTCTTGGGGTTAAAGGCCTCACCTTCTCTCCTCCAGACATGTTTCTGCTCAGTGTTTGTTCCATCTGACCAGAACTTTCCTCCAGAAGGCCTTTTCTTTGTCCCTGTGATCAGCAGCACTTCATACTTAAAAACAATTGTTTGCACAGTTGACTTTGGGATCTGTAGCTGCTACGGTTACGTTCCTGACGTGTTCAAGTCAATGATTTGCTCTTTAGGACCTTCAGACTCTAATGAGTGGATTAAAGAGGCCCTATTTTAATTGGCTCAGAGGAGTCAGCAGCTGTAGTCAATTGTACTCACTCACGAGACGTTGAGAGGCCACGACACTGAGGAAAGTTAAATTGACACAGCTTACTACGTCACCGAAACTGATAATTTGGTTTCGACCCAAAAAGTTGTATCATCTTTCCAGAAGACCTTTAAAAAAAATCTATGAAAGAACCAAAATGCATGAATGTTCCTTTTGTGAGTTTCAGTGATTCCATCAAAGACAATTCAGAATCACTGGAAACTATCATGATATACGTGGTCTTTGTAAACTTTTGCTCACAACTTTGTGAATCTCTTATGAATCCTACTTACTCGTGCGTCGTACTCCAGCACGAACGGAGGGATGTCGATCTGCTCCGGCTTGATGCAGGTGAAGAGCTGCTGCAGGTTGTCCAGGTAGCGAACTTTGTCCTTCAAGCCGGAAACGCTGAAGGTGGTGAAGAACCACGTCGAAACCTGCATTGAAAAATAAAGAAATAGGGAGGGGGGCATAAAGAAAGGAACACTTCATCAGCTGTAGATTGACCTTGCGTTATCGAGATATCAATCTTGCCATAACCTACAAAGAGCAAACTGATCACAGCGTTCCGGAGAAACAACGAGATTAACTCTAATGAAACTTTAATGATCAAAACGGAGAGTTTGGCAAACGGTGCTGTGGTTCTGGTAAACAGTAAAGAAACTGATATAAACCAGAAAGCACTCAAGGAGAGCTTTTCTTTGCCAGCAGGGAAATATTTATAAATTTTGAATTTGCATCTGGATCCAGATTAAGCAGCTAAACACACAGTTTGATGGTTCTTGGATAACACTCATTTGAAGACTGTTGGGGCTTTGTGCGGGGACGAAATCACTCAAAATTTAAAGTGTCACACTCCCAATCGCTGAGCTATTAAAACAATATCGCTGCCGCAGGAGGCAACTTTTTTGCAAGACTGAGTGCGTTTGTGCCTTTTTAATTAGCGCAATGCATCAAGAGTCGTGGCAGGTTACGTGTAGCGAGACGCAATTAGCAAAGTGTTGAATGGAAGTTTTGCAATTACAATTACTGCTCACGACCAGAGAAACACACACCGTGCAACCGTCGAACACCGTGAGCTCCGCTGACACTGAACAGCGATTTAAAACCAAAGAGAAACCCGACTCTTACCTTGGAGCGAAACGTTGGATGGACAAAGTAGAAAGCCTTCAAGTTCTTCTTAAATCTAAAACACAAAACAGAGGAAGAAGAATACTTTTCAGCGAGGTTATGACTCATTATTTCTGAAATACCAACACAGAGGAAAACTTGTGTAAAGAGAGAGAAAAAAAATAAAAGGATCAATTGTGTGAAAGTCGCTGCAGTTGTGTTTCCAAAGATGCAAGTTTACAAACAAAGAAAAAAAAAAAAAAACCCGACACAACTTCAGAGATGATCAGCTGCTTAATCAGCTCGGAAACTTACAGCGAACCCACCGAAACATCCTCCTACAGCTCCTCATGCAGGAAAATTTAATTAGCCACCTAAATTTAAAGCCTGTATTAGATGCACACTCAACTGTTAGCATGTGTGCATACTTTTTTTTTTTTTTTAGATTATGCTAATTCTGAGGTTCTTATGTTCATTCCGAGCCGAACAAAAACATCAACAACATGAAATATCACATCATGTGTACAGAGATGTTCTGACATTGTGCCAACAAATCCAAGGAAAAGCCAGAAATCATCGATTAATTGAAGTATTCAATGTGAATCTGTGCTTGAAAATCTCATTCGAGCTCAGTCGTTGTCTAGAAAAACACATCAGTGCTGCTCCAGTTACGTCACTGCAGTAAACATCTCGGCCACGATGACGATTTTAAATTCTACCTTTATAGAGCTTTAAAGAAGTGCGTCTCCAGTAGGAAGAGGCCTCTCTGTAGTCGGAAAGAACAAAAAAATAAAATAAAATACAAGCTGGAGCGTTCTTTGGTTTTTGAACAACAACAGTCTCATCCATTAAAGGACTGAAACAGGTCCATTAACTTCGCTCGAGAGTGAACAAGCCGACCTTTAAAAAAAAAAACACCGAGCCATGAAAACGTCGTAGATCATTAAGAGAGATTATTGATGACAAATTCACGGCTCTGCTGGGGGGAAGTTTGAGACACCTCCGGGAGAGATTTGGCATTAAAACTTATTTGGGACATAAAGGAGCGACGGCCTTAACGAGGATAACAGGATGAACTGAATCCTTGTGAACCTCACAGGGAGAAATATCAAATATCCACTTTTCATCTCTTCTATATATTATTAAACACAACTTCTGGATTTAAAGCAACTTAACAAGTCAGCGGATCCTGTTGTCCAACCTACTGATGATTAATGACGGAGTGTTTTTAACCACACCAACGCCGAGTCTCAGAAAAGTTCATCCAAAGTTTCACAACAACTATCGGACGGATTGTCACAAAGATCGGAGAAGACGGAACGAAAGAGGTTTGGAGACGAACCCCGACTTTTCCTGCGATGATTTTCTCCTGATGCAAACTTGACAAACACACAAGATGTCTCAGTTCTGAAGTGGCCGCAACTAACGATTGATTTCCTCAATTAATTAATTAGTTTTTTGTTCTATAAAATGGTAAAAAAAAAGTCGATCGGTGTTTCCTAAATGTTCTGTTTTGTCCTCCACACAAAGAAATGCAGTTTACCGTCATAGAGGAGCAAAGAAACAAGAAAATGTTCATATTTAAGAAGCTGAAATCACCTTTTTTTCCCCCCTTAAAAAATTAATTAATCAATGCAGCTTTAAGTGGTTCCCTAATATTCTGAAATTCGTGGCTATTTGAGTTCTCCACATGTTTGTCTTATACTCTACTTGGTTATTTCTTAAGTTTGAACCCCAAAACCAGCAGGCAGGTTCAAAAGACATGCCGTCTTCATAAAAATCTGCAAAATTACACCATTTATCAGCTACAAACCGGATTTTGAACCTTGAGCTGCTCATCTGGGACGCGTTGCTCAGTCAAGACACAAATCTGAGTCTAAAAATTCAAAAATTAACCAAAAATAAATTGTTCGTTCAAACCGGATTCTGTAAAAAAATAAAAAAATTCGGCACTTTTCTGCGTAACTGTGACGCCTTTATGACTCCGTTCTGATCAACAGTCACGCGACAAAAATCTAAAGAGTTTTTACATTTTAACATGGAGCAGAAGAAAAATAAACAATTCAGTTTATTCTTTTTTTCTGTAAAACTGATAATCAAGAAAAATTTCAGCTTTTCTTCCCCTTTTTTTAATGATTTATGGCAATTTAAAATCTCAAGTTTGAGTTCTCACTACTTCTTGCCGTAGCTGTGTAGTTATTACTTGTGAAAAATTAGCCAAAAGCGAGTAAAATAAAATTCAAGTCACCTTATTTCCCCAGGACTGGTGAACAAAAGTGGGTTATCGCCAGACTTTGTACGTTTTTGTACAATATAATAATAATAATAAACTTTATTTGTATAGCACCTTTAAGAACAGACTTCACAAAGTGCTTTTACTAATAATAAAGAAACACAACACACACAGAGACAAGGCAACACAGGAAAACAATACGTGTCTAAAAAGTGCAGGCAAAGACTCAAAATATTAAAATACACACAATAAAAATGGAAAACAAACCAGGCTGGGTCACTATTGGAAGGTGTATTATAATAAAACTATTAAAACTGATCAAAAAGACGACATCACAGAGGGGAATGAAGATAAAAGCTGAAGATAAAAGTAGATAAAGAAGGAGAAAAGAAAGTAGGACGGCGGGCAGTACTGATAGAAGAAAAAAAAGGGAAACGAAACTGGTGAAAATCTAAAAGAGAGCATCACTCAAAAGCGAGTCTATTGAAGTGGCTTTTAAGAAGTGATTTAAAAGACGACACTGAATCTGCGAGCTTTATTTTCCTCCGTGCATGACAACAGGTCATCACAGACAAGTGTTGTTTTTCCTTCTATCATCATTTCTGACTTTATAACTGAGTCATTCAGCACTGAAGTCATTTCTGAGTTCTCTCTGCTTTCATGGGTGAGGTTGGGGGAAAAAATAAAAAGAAGCAGAAATAGCTAAAATTGATCATTAACATCTTTAAAAACAACACGTGTGGCCACGTTTAGTTTCACAGCCAGAAGCTCTAATAAGTATGTTTGAGCTTAACTGTAGGTGGCAAAGGAAGCTGTGAATTCTCAGCAGTAGTGACGCGTTCATACTATTAATAAGCGGGGCATTCACGGGGTTATATTTGTGTCGTACTTCTTCACGGTTGTTCTGTTTCCACAGAGGTGCAGGACTGTATGCTGCATTGAAAAATGGGCGAGCAGAGACAAAAAGCAGGAAACGCCCAGAAACTGCCCGAAGTTCTGCAGCTGTCATCAGACCAAACGCTGGTCTCTGCTGCTGCACTGATCAGAGCTAATCAGAGGTCTAGTGTCCGGCCGACTGCAGGAGGAAACTAACGTTAGTCACTCGTCTCCATGATGTCATCGCCGAAGCTCATTAGCGGAGGTCGACTGCTAAATGCAGAGCTTCACCTTCAGGGTTTTGTTTTTTGCATGTAGCCCTCGTTTGTCTTTCCCAGCACCCAGCAGGAGGACACGAAGCTGTCTGGCACAGATCGGTGAACTCGGAGCTGGAGGTGGCGACCCTCATCCCAACCCCTTCACCCTCGGCTGCAAACCGCCCCGCTGGAGGTCACGCTCCGATGAAGCGACGAAACCACATCGCTGGCGAACGGCACAGATGCAGCTCTGAAGCAAAACTAAACCGGTGATTCCCCAAACTGCTGGAGCCAATCTCTCTGCTGCTCTGTTTTGTTTTTTTTGGTTTTTGATGCGACAGTGGAAACGTGGAAAATGAGAATCACGGCGACACAAACAAACCTGCGTTCATAAAACTCATCCCTAAACACACATCAGCAGTTTATCGTCACATTTCGAGTGTTGAGAAAACGTTTGCTTTTATTCCAAAAACAAAACTTTATCTGTAAATCAGTTTATGTTACATCAAGGTTTAGTTTAATTTAAAAAAGCCACTAACAGACTCACGACCTGCCTTTGTCGTCAGGTTTCTGGTTGATTTAATGGATTTTATTTTTCTATTTATTACTCTTCTTACGGCCAATTTCATTCATTGATGTCTCTATTATTTACACATTTTAGAATATTTAATGTGTTGGTGTTTTTTTATTGCTTTCTTATTCTGTGTTTGCAGCAGTGAGAGGTCACAGTTATTGACAAGAACTGTGACAATATGTTTTACTCTTTTCATATATTAAATAAAAACTCATCTAAAAGGTTCAAAACAAACGACTGGACAGACAAACTAATCAATGTTTTCATGCAAAGTGTTTTCAGTGAGCTGTGAAAAAACAAAACAAAATAAAACATAATTTTTCAGGATGAGAACTATGACAATATGTTTTTTTTTATTTCTTTTTATAAACTATATCAACGCTCTCTGACTTTAGGTTTAATTAAAAAGCAGCTGCCAGAGTCCTGTTTATTCAGTCTTTTGAGTATTTAATTGATTTTATTCATTTATTACTCTTCGTAACGATAAATTTATTAATTGATTTCTCTATTTTCCACTTATTTACATATTTCTAGTCAACGAATCGTTCATCACTGAATTTTTTTGTTATTATTTTCTCATTCTGCGTAAATAAAGCGAGGGATTGTTTGTCTTATTTTATTGCATTTTTATTCCTTTTATCTATAAAGCACTTTGTGTTGCATTTGATCTGTGTGAAAAATGTTCAATAAATGCTGTCTGATTGATGGATACTATTAAAAATATAGATTTAAATTAAAGACAGACTGCTGGACATAAACAGTTGAGTGTTTTCAGTGAGCTGTCGAATCACACAAGTTTCCTCCAAAGTTTATCTCGTCTTTAAATGATTTATCGGTTCGATCTGTTGTGCTGCTGTTCATTAGGAAGCTGCTTATATTCAACAACGTAGCGCATCAGGAAGTGATGTTATCGTGCAATTTTTAAAAAGTGAACAAACTACAAATATGCAAACAGCAGCTGACGCTTATTAAAAGATGAGCTAACGCTGAAATAACACCGCTAATGCAACTGGGGATGTCATTTTCAGTCAATATTAGAAGGAATGAGTCAGTTTGAAGGATTAATGGCGGAGCTCAATCTAAAATAACGTTTAAATGACTGTGCTAATGTTTTCCAACCATTTAGAGTTTCTTTC